GAGGTTCCTTAATGATCACAGATCATTAAGGTTTTTCTTTCTAAACTGGAAAATTTATATGCCAGCTAGTACTAGAAGAGGGATCAGATAAATTTGAGGTGCCTTTGAAGTATTCATGTGAAGATAGTTTGCGAAGGAGAAATAAAAGTGTGAGTTAAGTCTTTAGATTGGTGAGTTAAGCTGTGGGCTTGGTTTGGATTCCCCATGGAGAGAATTTAGGTGAGAAGAGAATAGTCTGGGACTAAGTTTTGAGAAACTCTAGTTCTGTTTGATTGGTTTATGCCTCTTTATTATACTGTATTTTTCTTTGGATCTATTATGTTCTATTTCTGACTTCTTAAATTGGATGCTTGACTTGTTGATATTTTAGACTTTTTTTTATTAAAGAAATTTGAAGAATAAATAACTGTTTTAGTCATACCTATAAATTTTGACTTTTTGTTTTCTCCTCTGGACAGATAGAGTTAAGATCAGATGGCCTTGATGATGCTATTTCTGTTCAAAGTACTGTAAAATTATTTTATAGTTGAACATATACATGGTGGCAAGTGAAAATAGCTTTGTGATACTATAAAACTTGAGTTTTCAAAAATGAGAACGTTTTTATAAAACAGTGGTTGTTATCCAACAAAATATGTTGAATGGAATTTGTTGTTTTACTCATTGCAGTGACAAAAGTGTTCGGGCTAAAAATATCTAGTCCAATTATTACTAAAAAAAGCATCATATTTTAATTTCTGTTTTTTTTCCTCCAAATCTCACATATAGACCCTCTCCCTATTCTCTGCTGCTTTGAGAATTGCTGCATCATAGAGATTCCCTGACGGAAATGCATTATATGTGTGTTTGATATGGAAGCAAAACCAAAGTCATATAAAAAAAAATAATTTATGGGGCGCCTGGGTGGCTCAGTGGGTTAAGCCGCTGCCTTCAGCTCAGGTCATGATCTCAGGGTCCTGGGATCGAGTCCCGCATCGGGCTCTCTGCTCAGCAGGGAGCCTGCTTCCCTCTCTCTCTCTCTCTCTCTGCCTGCCTCTCCATCTACTTGTGATCTCTCTGTCAAATAAATAAATAAAATCTTTAAAAAAAAAAAATAATTTATGTAGTCTTCTCAAATTTGTCACCTTGAATTTAAAGATAGTCTTCACTGTTAATAAGTGGTCTCAGAGATTGATGCGATATCCTTCACATCAACTTATTTATTTTTCATTTTTCTCCTTAAAAATTCATTCCTTGGGGCATCTGGGTGGCTCATTTAGGCATCTGCTTTCAGCCCAGGTTATGATATTGGGGTCCTGGGATTGCCCAGCTTTGGGCTCCGTGCTCAGAAAGGAGTCCATTTATCCCTCTCCCTCTGCCACTTCCCAGCTTGTGCTCTCTCTGTCTCTCTCAAATAAATAAAATCTAAAAAAAAAAAAAAAAAATCTTCATGCCTTACTATTTTATGTTTTATGCTATTCTCAATACTTTGTTAAGTAAAAATTTTGTATTAAAAATCCTGAGTCTTCCTCATGAGAAATAGTATTTAGAAATGCAGTAAAACTATATGCTATTTGCAGGCTTAAATGAAAAATTTTTTTAAAATATTAAATGAAATATTTTTAATTGTATTTTTTTCATGGCAAGTATTTTAACCCAGTTCTAAATAAATGATTTCATATAAGGTACTAGAAATAGCGTCAGAATGAAGATGGGAATAGACTTATCCTCAGGATAGCAGTTGATGCAGGTGCCACTTCAGCTTCTTGTCCACCCTCTGTGGTCACCCACAGAAAGGACTGCTATTTAAAGCAAACAGCAATAATTCTGGTAACCTTAACACCCAGTCCCCAGGAAGTAATGTTCTTAAATATGGTCTACACTGATTTTTACTTTGGAAAGTTCTCTCTAGATTGGGTATAATTTGTTTTAGATTATTGTAAACTCTGTTTAGGGTTTGTGAGATGCTTTTAAAAACTTTATTTTGATGTTAAGGAAAATAATAAGCCTCTGGTTAGGGCACTGTACAGTTTAGTGTCTGCAATAATGAGAATGCGAATAGATAAAATTAGCGCTAACAGACTTAGTAATGCATATTACTTCCATCTTCAGTTTAAGAATGAATTTCCTTCTGCTGTGATCGCAGTGGGTTTTAGCTCACCTTTCTTTTCTTGCCATGTCTTTCCCCATGTCTAATAGAATTGCTTTGCATGTAAAATACTTAAAGTATTGAGGTCTAATTTTGTTTTACTTTCTTTCTGGAAAGCACATTGAAGATTGCTTCCAGATGTTTTGCATTAACAAATGTAGATTTTCTAGCAACAGGACACCTATCTAAAATGCCTGAATTGATTTTTTTTAAAAATCAATGAAATTTCATTTCCCCCATGAAAATATTTGTTTTGGAAAATGTGTATTGTTGCACAGCAAGTGAGTAAACTTCAGAAGAGAATTCTTATAAACTTTGTCAGGGAATTATCCAGCACACTGACTTGCCATGGCCATGCTGCTTTTCTAGAACATTCCTAATGAGTTAAATGCCCTCATGGGTAACTGACTAATAACAAAACACCAAAGTTTATAAATGATTTACCTTTCAAAGTAAGGTAAGTTTCAAAGTAAGTTAAGTAAGTTAGAATTAAAAATTATCCCTATAATAGCATCATTCAGTTTCTTACTTTAAAAGAAGGCAAGGGAAAAAGGAGTGTTTAACTTAGCCTTGCCTTTTCACTGTGTGATACTGCCTGAGATGGGTGAACTCCTTCGGATGTACCAGGCAGGGTTGCGTTGAGAAGGCACTGGCTGAGTTCTCACCTGGTCACATTGCTATAGTTCACAGAGAGTGAGGCTGCTTTGCATTTAGGTTCTCAGCTGTCTCACCATTTGGTACCTTTCTCAGCCCTTCCTCCCAGCGTCCCTTAGCTTTGCAATCAACCACAAGTGATGAAGGTCCTGATTTAACAGCATTTCAGACTTCATTTCTTAGACAAGGTGTATTAGCTCCCTAATGAATAGCAAGGAAATGAACTCAAGGCTTCACATGGACAGAGGCATTATAACCCTGGCCCACCAAACTGAACACAGTTGTTACTATCAACAACAACAACAAAACTTCAAGCAAATGTGCCATTAAAAAACCCTTACATAATTGTAGCAGGTTTGGGTTTCCTCTGGTTCAAGTTTTCTTGCTTCTTTGATAATCGAATGATCTGAAGAAAGGCATAGAATTTCAGGGGGGAATCTGCATGACAGGCTCACAATAAGGCTATTCATGAGGACTCTTTTATTAGTTTAAACAGTATCTGCATCATTCTTAGTCTCTGGCTTTACTACAAGGCTCCATTTAAACTTAACCCAACTTGCTGACTTAACTGATCCAGGAATTACTCAGTACAACCAGCCAGCTACTGTAGGTTTTTTTTCCTCCCCCTTTTGATAAGGGGATTTAATACAATGGCCTTTACAGTTCTTAAATGACTCCATTTTTTTCCCTGTCTTTGAGATGTGACGCTTATACGACCTTTTGTTCTTAATAAAATTTTACATAGTTTGATTATATTTTTAAAAAAATATAAATAAATACAATATTGACTCCCTACCCTCAGAGTAAAACTTTTTAAATCTTGTAGAGGATATACAAATGGAGTTTGTCATTAGGTATTATTAAATCAAACTTGAATATATTTTCTATATTTTTGAGGGGTGATTCTCATATAATTACTAGGAATCCTTCAGCATTGCATGTTCACTTTTACACACTTTTGGTTACCTGCTGGTGTTTATACCATTTCTCCTACCACAGTGCTAAAACACTACTCGGGACATCCTTGGTTGGTCCCTGAGTAGCTGGGGGGAAGAGGGTAGGACAGAACTCTGACATCAGAGTGAAGAGATTCTCAAGGATATATTTGGTACCATGTCACACCGAGAGTATAGGTGATCCACGCTTTGGATCCACACCTCAGACTAGTGGGTCTCAAACTTTAGTCGGAACAACAATCATCAGAGTATTTGATAGAAATACAGATATCTGGACCCCACCCTCCGGGACTGATTCAGCAGGTCTGGGATGAGGGTCTGAGAATCTGCATTTTTAACAAGCACCCAGTTAGGTTTCTGATGATGATTACCTGACCATACAGAGATCATTATCCTGTAAATTCATGAAACCTCCGCTGCAAGGCCTCTTGCCTCCAGGTAAGCCAAAACCTATCTCAGGTAGGAGTGACCTCTGTGTGGTTTCCCAGGGGAATTGGTGGCAGGAGGGTAAGGACCCCTATAGTATTTCTAGCTCTGGAGCAGCTTGAGTATCCTTCTCCCGCTCTGCTTCCTTCTGCAGCAGGGCAGTCCCCACCGCGTGTATCACATTCCCAGGAACAGGCCTCACCTTTGGGCCCGCACTTGGGTGTTTGAGAATGTCATCTCCCCCTGCCCTGGCTTTGTGTGTGATTAGAATTTCAGAGCAGTGTTATCTGCAGCACTTAATCCAAATTTGCTCTTCTGTCCTCCTCCCATGCCCCTATTAAAGTAATTTTAGATTTTTAGAAACAAAGGTCCTTTTCAAAAGGATTTCCCTTTAGAAATGGATGTTCAAGAAGTCTTTTGGGAATTATGGATGTAACATGTTCGTTCCTTTCGTGAAGATAAGATTTTTCCCTTGAAGATAAGTTGATCCGTTGGTCAGGACAGATAGGGAAAATAAGTGGTGGTGACTACTGTTGCTGTTTGTAGCATTTCGCCAAGGGCGCTGGCGTGTCCACCCCCATGGACTTGGCAGATTGCCTTATGGGAATGCTCAGACCCATGCAAAAATGAGAAAATACAGCTCCCATATACACGTCATCCAGTTTCCAGAGTTACGGAGATTTGGCTGCGTTTTTCGGAGGCTTTTTGTTTTGCTCATAAATATTGCTAGTAGTTTTTTGACTGGTTCATTTGGGGAATGAATCAAACATGACATATGCTTTGCTTGGGGCCTGAGTGCGGTTTCATGAATCGTAATTTGAATATGTCACTTCCAGGAATGTGTTCCAGAAAACCTGGAGCTGAAGAAGAAGATTTTCGCACAGTTAGATCAAATCGTCGATGATAAAGTTGTCTTGAGCAGCTCCACGTCTTGCCTCATGCCTTCCAAGGTGTTCGCCGGCCTGGTACACGTGAAGCAGTGCATTGTGGCCCATCCTGTGAGTGCCTTAAACCTCAGGAACTGGTTGTATCTTATTCTGGTTCTCAGGAGCAATACATTTGGACTAATCTGCTAGTACATTTTAACTGCTTTATTGAGGTATAAGTCATATGCCACACAATTAAAATTGTATAATTTAGTGTTTTTTTATGGAAATATAGAAAGTTGTACGATACCGGCATTTTTTTTTATTTTTTATTTTTTTTAAAGATTTTATTTGACAGAGATCACAAGTTGGCAGAGAGGCAGGCGGGGTGCGGGGGTTAGCAGGTTCCCTGCTGAGCAGAGAGCCTGACGCAGGGGCCCGATCCCAGCACCCTGGGATCATGACCTGAGCCGAAGGCAGAGGCTTTAAGCCACTGAACCACCCAGGTGCCCCAATACTGGCATTTTTAAAAAGAATTTAATCCCCAAATGCCTTGAATTGTACCTGCTTACCTAATGCCTAATGGGGTAGAATGGGATAGAATGAGCAGTACTGATATACTTTCACCCTTATGTAACTCACCATCCAGCTAAAGACAGAGACTGCTAAACACAGAATTCCACTGTTGGGGAAAAAGGTACTTTTAAAAAATGTATACATTGAGTAAGATTTTACAGCCATGTCACTGTGCTGTGCAGTTTACTCAACACAATCCAGAGTAGGATCAGTGTTGCTAAAGTGCAGATCCTGGGTCCTGCTCCTGAGATTCTGGTTCAGTAGGTTGATCTTAACCCCCTACCCCTTTTTCTTGTTCCCTTACACACATCTGCTGGGCAGACCTATTCAGTGGGGGATCCATGGTGAGGTATATCGGACAGTGAGTTCCAAACTGATGTGCAGGCACATGGTAAATATTTTTGAGGTGAATGTGGTAATGTGAGGAAAGAGGAATCAGAGAGGAGATCCAGGGATCACTTGGTGGGAGTTTGAAACCAATTGAGCTCAGTGTGACCTTGGAGAACTGGAACAGCCTGTTAGTATAGAAAAGCTGACCTAGCCCAAGCCATAATAAATAGGATAGTGGATGACATGGCCACACCCCCGGCACCAGCACCATTGGAGGCTGATGGAGAAGCTGGGGCCAAGCTGGGCAGGATGGGGTTGGGCTGACAAGGGAAGAGAGAGTGGGAAAGAGTGTAAACAAAGACCCTGGGCTAAGAGCAAGTGTGGGGTGTACAGAATTGCGAGGAGACCAGTCTTGACTGGAAGGGCACACATACCTCACATACTTGGGGAGTAGGAAGAAAAAGCTGGAAGGCTTGGGAAGAAACAGTTGAGTTGTACAGAATCTTGAGAGTTGCCCTAAAGAGCTGGGACTGGCTTAGGCACAGAGCAGCCTTGTGATGTGGTGAAAATGCTGCCTTTGGAAGGTAATTGGAAGGTTCTTTGTATGTTGAAGATGGCTGAGAGAGGGGAGCAGCTTCTTCACAGAATTGGGGCAGTATTCCAAGGATGGGTGACCAGGGCCTCAGTGAGGCTGAGGGTCCTAGATGAAGAGCAGGGAAAATCCTCTTTTTGAGCAAGAGTAGTTTAGAGTGGAGGGGGGGTGCTGGTAACAGACTTGCTCTGGGAACAGAGGAAAAAGGGGGAGTCACAGATGCCTGCTGGATTCTCTATGCTGCGAAGAGGAACTGCCATTCACATGACTATATAGTTCTGGATATCCAGATGTCCTCCTACTGAAATACCATGGAAAGTAGAGATTGGTCATAAAATACAGAGGCTTAGACCCACAGAACATGGAAGAAAACTGGTCACATCTAGCTACCACACAGATACACAGACACAAGAGGGACCTTAACTGAAGCATCCAAATACCAAGTGCAATGAAACATGTGCTATCTTTGCTTCTATGACATTTACATGTCTGTAAAAAGGACTCTCAGAAACTGTAAACCACTTATTAGATTGATTGCTGCTTCAGTGAAAGCCTCTTGCTTGAAAACTTCCAATTTCTAACCAGAGATTTTACTTCTAAGTCAGGTAAAACAAAAGAAAAAAACAACAAGGTCAGATTGTTTAGGAAATACCTCCTAAGTCCTTTAATAAGATTTCTTTATTTATTCCACCTTTAATAAGGTAGGAATCTTATTAATTTTAAACCACCTGATGGATGAGACTACACCTTACTCACTTTCCTCTCACACCTAACAAGGACCTCCGACTAGTAGTTCAGCCAGTGACTGTTGTATAATGACAGTTCTCCTACCATTCCAGGATTGTTCGCTTTTACTTCTTTAATCAAAGGTAAACAGTGTAGCCAAAATAAGCTCAGACCTTATTTCAAAAATTAATCTCTTATTACTTTTGTAGATTATTTTATACCAAAGCCAACATTAACCAAGGCAGATGAAATTGCCCAAGTTGACTGTCTTTGGAATTTTATCCTTTCTTTTGTGCTGGTGCCGCCCATTGTTTAATCATGCCATTGAGCTTAAGGAGAGTGGGGAAAAAAAGCGTCTGTGAACAATTCAACCTAAGCTGAACGGACAGTCCCTGAGTAATCCAGAACCATTTACGGTCTTTGAGGAGCTACAGTTTCCCTTTAGCCCTGCAGGCCAAGAAGGAGAAGCCCAGCGAGTCTGCTCACATGCCACTGCCTCAACTTTGTGCTCCTGTCACCCACTACTCTGACCAGACAGGAAATAGGGTAAAGGAAAAGGAAGCACATTCATGCCTCTGAAAGGCTGGGGCAAAAGTGGAAAGTCAGCAGTTGTGAAAGATTGCTGCCTCCACCCCTCCACAGAAGAACCAGCAGCCAAGGAGTTTCTACATCCCATATTGTCTCTTGGGCACCTTTTCTCATTGTGGGGTGAGGAGATTTCAGGTCAGTCCAGCACGGGTGGGTGAGCGTGTTCTCTCAGCATATAGGTAGTTTGAGAACTTTGAGTAGGCTTCATAGACTAGAGCCAGGAAAGTGACAGGCTCAGGAAGAGGGTTATTGATGTGGCTCTTCTCTGTGTCCCTGCTGGTCTTCCTCTCGAATGTTTATTATGTTGCCTTTGTTTGTCTGCCTCATCTCCTTGTGGATGTGTGGAGGGGCTCAGGGATGGCCATTTGGTGGCTGGTGATTATCTGAAGGTTGAGTTGGGTTGCATGCTCTCTTGGTACGTAGATCTATGCTAACAATCAATCAGAGAAGCAGTTTTCTACTGACAGTTTCAGCCACACTTACAGCCTTTATTCCATTGGGGACTGGTGGTCCCATGAGCTGAACAGTGCTGTTTTAGCCCATCAGATTCTCTTGGTACCACTCTTATGAATGTCCTGTAGATTTTGCTGCCTGGGAAGGACACACATCTGCTCAGGGAATATAGTGTCAAATGGAAATAGTTCCTAACGCACAACTCTCACATAGGTTACTAGTCAGTCACAGAGCAATAACAGCCTGGAATTAAATCAGGCCCTACCCGCGTAAAGTGCCCCAAATGTTCCCATCTGAGCACTCCTTGCCCATGCTTGCACCTTTTCCGACTCACTCTCCCACCTGACCTGGAACCTTTTACCCTCATGTTGATGGTAACTTGAATGTTCATCTGTCTATGGAGAGCACGTGTGTGTGTGCATGCGTGTGCAAGCAGTGCCTGTTTCACATGGCCAGCTGCTGCCTTCAGAGGGGCTGCCTTTCCCCCTCTGTTTATGGAGGGTGAGTTCAGGAAGAGGGGTGGGGCTTATCACTAATGAAAGGACTTCACTACCTAAATTATCAAAATGGTGAGGGATTATATCCTCCTTCATTTTTACATTCCTCTTGTTAAGAGGAAGAGGAATTCACAGGGTCAGGAGTACCCCCACCCCAGCAGGCCTGTGAGAATGAATTGCAAATTGCTGCGCCTGTCTTCTGGGAAAAGGGACAGTCTGCTTTTCCTCTGTGAGTTTAACTCTGTTTAATCTGCTGCAGAGAAAATAAACGAAGCCTCTGTGTTCAGCGTGCTATGCTATCGCCGTGATCACATGCCTTCCAGGCTCTGGTCCAGATTTTGGGCAGGCTTTTCATGAGGTGAATGGAGAATGCCCCCCCCTTGAACCTCCCGGCTCAACCTGAACTCTCAAAGAGCCTCACGGCTGGCTGAGCCCAGGACCATCTCCTGTAACCTTTAAAAAGTTGCTTGCTTTCCACCTTTGTTTGTTCTTACCATTTCTTGAGGGCATGTTTCTGAGTTTAACTCCCAGACTCCAGCAGCCAAAGGCCCAGGTCCTACCTTCCGTGTCAGAAACAGAATAGCAGTTGGGAAACAGCCATTCCTTTTCTGTTTAAGAGAGTTGCTTGGTGGGGCACCTGTGGCCTCAGTCTGTTGAGTGTCTGCCTTTGGCTCAGGTCGTGATCCCAGGGTCCTGGGATTGAGCCACAATTGGGCTCCCTGCTCAGTTGGGAGGCTGCTTCTCCCTCTCCTTCTGCCCCTCTCCCTGCTTATGCACTGTCTCTGTGTCAAATAAATAAAATCTTTTTTTTTTTTTTAAGTCGCCTGCTTTGCTTACCTCCTGTCCTCTCCTGATCCCACCTCTCCTCTTCTACCATATTAAATTTAAAGGGTACCAGTCATTGCCACTGTTCATCTCTGAGCCTATAGTAGGGATCAGGGTCCTTGTTCCAGGACTGAGGTGCCACAGCAAGAATGACCCCATCTAGGCCCTCAGACTCTGGGAGTTCCTTTCTCAGAAGCTCATCGACTTGAGAGCATGGACACAGAAGTGTGCCAACTCCACCCGTTTTAGGAAGCTCAAAGGGCCAGATTGTGCAGTGGTATTTTAGTGGGTGGTGGGGAATCAGGATCCTGCAGGGTTTTGAGCTGCAGGTGGTATGATCAGCATCCTGTTTTTAGGGGCCTTGTCCTTAATTTTAATTGTGATAAAATACACATAAGGTTTGCCATCTTAACCATGTTTAAGTATACGTTCAGTGGCAATTAACACATTCACGCTGCTGTGTAGGCCCCCCACCATCCGTTCAGACTTTCTGTCTTCTGAAACTGAAACTCTGTCCCCATTAAATAGCAGCTCTCCATTCTGCTACCCCCAGTCCTGGCAGCCTTGGGTTCTCCTGTCTCTGGATTTGACAGGCCCCTGCCAGACAGAGGATCCCCTTGGCAGTGACAGAGAGAATGAGCCTGGAGGGGGAGGCCAGTGAGCACCAAAATCTCAGTTGGAGGTGATGGCCTGAGCTAAGCGTGTGGTAGCAGGAATGGGTTTTTTGAGAGAGATGACTAGAATTGACAGAATCACTGATGGGGAGTGGGGGAGGCGAGGGAGAGGTAGGTGCCAAGGATACTTCTTATGGTACTAACTTGGGTGTTTGCGCTGTGATGGCATTCCCATCAAGATGGAGCTAGGCAGAGGACTAGGGTTTAGGGTGGGAGAGATGGGGGTTTAATTTGTGGCAGGCTGAGTGTATGCTTGTTGTCTATCCTAGGGGTGTGTCCAGTGCACAATTACAAATGTGGGCCTGAAGTGGGAGGTGAGCTCTGTGTGAAATCTCAGCATGTTGGGGTGGGGAGGACGCCCTGGGAGCTGCTGAGCTCTGCCCAGAGCCAGAGAGTGGGCACAGAGGGCCAGTGGTGGCAGCCTGGGAGCACCGCCATTTAAGGAGAGTGTGGGCAGGAGGAAAGCCTGTGAGGAAGACTTGCCTGATGAAACTAGCAAGTCGTGTATACAAATGCTTTTTAACTGTTGTCTCAGTCTGTGTTTTTACTACCCATGAGGCTTGCAACATTGGAAGACATTAAGCCCAACATCTTAGTCTGACAGTAAGATAAAATTCATTGAAAATACACCTACTTTCAGTTCTTACAGTTCTGATATTTAAAAAGGCCAGAAGTAGACATTTTTATGAGCTCAGTATAGACAGGAGAGAAGTGATTCAGTTGAGACACTGATTTATAACTTACTTATGTGAAAACAGGTGCTATCCTCTCTTGCTTTCTAAGAGGGCTGAGAGAGTGACCAGGGCAGGCTGAGAGCAGAAGGAATCTCTGAAGTAAGCTGTGTGTGGACCAGAGGCCTCTCCTAAGCAGTGTCCTAGGAGAAAGAAAATTTGTCTTTTCCTTTTCTGTAGAAGTCATTTAAAATAGATGCTTCATTTTTTTTTTAAAGATTTAATTTATTTATTTGACAGAGAGAGCACAACTAGGCAGAGCAGCAGGGAGAGGGAGAAGCAGGTTGTCATCAGGGAGCTCGTCAGGGAGCCCAACGGGGGGCTTGATCCCAGGACCCTGACCTGAGCTGAAGGCAGAGGCTTAACCAACTGAGCCACCCAGGGACCCATAAAATGGATGCTTCTTGAAGTGACTATAAGATTCTATCAATTTTTGTCCATGTATCAAGGAAAAATTATTTAAAAGGATCATTTGGGGAACAATTTATTGTAGTGCATTTGGCTTTTAATGGCAAGGCTAATCAGGTACCACTAAGCAGCATTTTCTTTGCACCGGGGATAATTCTCTTTGGGAATATTCAAGAACAGTTTCTCAAAATACACCAAAAAAACAGAACCCAAACTGTAAGTGTTGGGCTAGGAAAGCATTTCCATTAGGACCTACTCACTGTGGACCAACCCTTCCCATCTCAGGATGTCGGGGCTGTGGTAGAGTTCCGGTGCTGTGTGATTTCTAAGTGAGATTTGATTTGGGCGGGGAGCAGACATTTGAGGCTTAACATGGAGGAGTTAAGGAAATAGTTTGAGAAGGAAGGAAAAGTTTGAGAAGATGCTGCCAATGATTTTTAATACTGACAGAGTAGAATAGCAAGAACCTGTGGCAATTCTTGTGGAGAGAGTGGCCCTGGAGGTGGGCTGGGGATAGGTAGAAGCCAACAGGTCTAAACAGCAGGTCGCTGAGAAGTCCCATGGGGAGTTCAGTGGTTTGGAGATTAGCCCTGAATGTGTAGGATGGTCATCAGCACCTCCACATTTCAACCCCATATGGTGGTACTGACTTTTCTATAAATAAAACCACAGAATTCTGTGCTCGGGTTTTTTCTTTCCCTCCTTTGTGGATTACTTTATGTTTCAAGTTTCTTGTCATTGGATGCTAAATCTAAAAAGGCCTTTCTAAAGACAATCTGCCCCATCTGACCATTCAAGCTAGGCAAACAGAGTCTGCCAGAACAGCACCCCAGCTCTAGGGCTGTCTTTTGACCCTCTCCCCTTCTGTCTCTCTGTAAGGTAAATCCACCATATTATGTGCCGTTGGTCGAGCTGGTCCCACACCCGAAGACGGCCCCCGTGACAGTGGACAGAACCTACGCCCTGATGCAGAAGATTGGACAGTCCCCAGTCAGAGTTATGAAGGAGATCGATGGCTTTGCCCTGAATCGCCTCCAGTATGCAGTCATCAGTGAGGCCTGGCGGCTCGTGGAGGTGCGTGGGCAACTACCAGCCTCTGGCAACTGGAAGGGAAGGTGGCAGCAGTGTTCTGGGGCCTTATGGGGGGCGGGTAGTGGGTGGGAAAGTCAGAAGCCCTTGGTCCTGCTTGCTCTATTCTGGGGACTGAGGGCAAGCTCTTCTCTCAAGTTCAGTCAACAGGCAAGGAAAATAAAAGGTAAGATAGCAATTCATTGTTTGTTTCCGAGATTCCTCTGTTACAGTAAGTCATTTGATATTCACACCTGATGACAAACTTCTCTGTTTCCTGCCCTCTCATACCATTACCACATAATTATCTCTGTGTGACACACTGCGTTTTCTCAGTCTCAGGTTTTCTCCCCAGTTTTATAATTTTTCAAGAGGAGGAAAAAATACATTTTGAGTAAACTTGTATCCTCTAAAGAACCCCAGTTTACTTCAAGAGCTTGAGGAAGAAACAATGCGTAAGCCTTAAACTTGTTAGCAATATGCTCATCTTATATATAAACAGGACATTACACACACACACACACACACACACACACACACTTAACCTGTCCTTTCCTGAAAAGATTTTATACGTGACTTTAAAGATCACCTTAGTGCATACATTTATATGAAGGACCTGGTGCTGGGCAGGATAGATAATGCGAGCAGCCACCAGATTTCAGTGAAGAGGCCAGGGGTCTCAGGCTCAGACCATCTGGTTTCTGTCCACTGGCTTGCTGATGCTTCCCCAGCTTCTGCATGGGTAAGCAACACTGTCTGCCCTCTCTCCTGTTGCAGAAACACAGTAGTGTGAGTGAGGGTCTATCTGGGTACATAAGGCAGAAGGGACTGGAGCTCAGGCTGAATTGTCTGCTCCTGGAATAGGCCCACTCCTTGGTTTACCTCCTGTGGGAGCCTCCGAATCCCAGCCTGAGACAGGAAAGAGGAGGCTGGCCTGCAGCCATTGTGTTTCAGCTACATCACATGATGTATGTGTTGTTCCTGCATCCTGTTTCTGGTGTTCCGTCCTGTCCTTGTTAGACACGTCATCTGCTCTGACTGCTGTGTGCGTTTGCCACATAAAGCTACAATTCTGTGTCCTCACTGTTTAAATCCACTTAGGGCTCCTATATCATCAAGGCAGAGTCCTGGGATTTTCATTGTTAAGTTTGTAGTATTAATTTTCTCAAATTGTAGAATGTTTTTGAGTGTCAGTCAATAGTAGAATATTTTAAAGACCCACTGAGCTGAAAGCACCCCGTGGGACTGTATTTAAAATATTTGCACTTTTCTAGAATAGGGGAACACTTTAACAGACCACAAGAAAAGCTCAATATGACAGTTAAACACTGCGAGAGCTTTTAAGGCAGTTTTTATTTTTGTTGGTAAGGTAGCTTGTGCCCTAAAGAGATAAGATCCCTGAGGTAAATCTTGCTTTCTCCAATCAGAATGATGTGAGCCAACTCAACGGAAAAACTCAGAGGCTCTGGTATATTGGAATTAGGTGGGAGTCCTACATAAGAATTCTCTCTGTGTTGACCACAAAGTGAAACTAGCTGTGGTTTGGGAGCTCTGGGTTTGGAAGAGCAGTGGAGGGAGAGCTAGAAGGGTTGTTGAATTTGGCCGCTCTGGCTGTTCTCATTGCCTCATTTTGCCTGCCCTCCTTTTGATTGTCCTCTCCCCAGGGGCCAATAGTGGACTGAATATATTCATGTTCTTGGCTGGCAGGAATATTCTCAGGGATGACATATCTGAGAATCCTGCTTGTGTCTCTGTGTTGGCTGCTGTGAGACTTGTGTGCCTGGAGTCCCTGTAAGGCACCAAGCACTAAAATCCGGCAGGACACAGTTTCTGACAAACTGAGATGAGGCTATGGAAATGAGAAGATAAAGTGTGAATAGAACCTCAAGAATTTTTTTTGGTGAATGTCTAGAAGACAACTCGCTTTTAAAAAAATAAAGATCTACAGACAATTCAGACAGATGTAGAACCTGCAGGCCCCTCTCTCCAGGGTGGTGTGAGACAGGAATGGAACGGCGGACATCCCTGAGCTCTGCTGAGACTAAGTGACAGGTGGAGTGTTTCAGCTGTGGGGCAGGGGCTCAGAGGGGGAACACATGGAGGGGGTAGGGTCGCCTGTATTGCGCTCCGGGTGCTTCTACCATCGCTGCTCGAGAGATACCTGCTCTATTGGCCAATCAGACGTAGAAAGGCCACTAGCATACTGGCTGTGCACCTGCTCCCAAAGTAGTTGCTTCTGAGGGCAGAGATGCTGCAGGTGTGGGCTCTGAACATCCATAAAGTGGGCCCTGCTTTCCTTAGATCCTGGGTCTACCAGAGCCCCAGAGAAATCTTCCCTGGCTCACCTAAGTGGCCATAGGCTCCTCCCTCTGAGTTCTCAACACTGCAGCCCTGCAGACACACAAAAGACACGTTTTTCTTACCTCCCACCACCCTCCCCTTGGGACTGGTGGATCAGTATTTCCGCCTATTAGGTGGGTTGGTTTAAGAAGTCTTGACTTTATCATTTGAATTTCTTGAAGGAAAACCTGTGCCGCCTGGCGTTGGTTTCCACTTAAGACATGGAAAGTTAGGCAAGGTGAGAAAACCTCTCACAAGCCCCACCTTGCTCCGTGCAAATTTGCACGCACGTGCTGAGCCCCAGTCAGCACTGGGGTTGAATGACACCCTTTTGACTCACAATTTCAGAGCCAGTTGAACTTGAATTTAGATTTTAGGGTGTTCCAAGTTTACCTCAAAACATCTAGGAGCAACTTTAGTATAAAAAGGAGCTGAATTGGGGATGTTTTACAGTAAAAATTGAAGATTTTTATACTTCTTAATTTCAAAAGATCCAAAGATATTACGGAGTTTATCTTTGTAAGACCATCTCCTTCTGGGGTGGGTCTTGTGTGTGGGCCAACATGCCAAGGCTCAGCCTTGATGTAGAGAACACCGTGAGCTGAGATGAGCAGGGTTGCTCTCCTCGAGGACTCACTATGGGCACTTCAGTCTCACTCCTTTCTTGAGCCACAGAGCACGTTGAAATTTGGCAGAACCTTTTCTCTTTGACCCAAACTAGGGTTGGTGTGTTTCCAGGTATGGAAGCTACTTGGTTGCAGAGCAGTGGGAGGCCTTGGGCAGAACATGGGGCTGCATGCTGCTGTCCAGGCTTCTTAGGTTCGTGTCAGGGGGTGGATTGAGGAATCCTGTCCCACGATGTCTGAGTGTAAACAGCTCTGCACAAATCAGCTCCAAGTGTGAATTTCTAGGGGTCCTACCCATGCGTTAGGGTATGAACTACAGTGGGACAGGCAGGGGGCCTGGCAGAACGATGGTTTGCGTTTCCACTCAGCCATGGTGATGTCTTATACAGTTGTCAGAGGAGAAGAAGGACGCTGTTTTGCCACTTGCTAATTTTGTTAATCTGGTAGGTTACATCAATTGATTTTCCCATGTTGATGCAGCCTTGCATACCTGGAATAAATACCACCAGGTGTGTAATTCTTTCTAGACCTTCCTGGAGTCCGTTTGCTTATGTTTTGTTGAGAAGTTTTTTCTAAGTTCAGAAGAAATATTGGTTTTGTAGTTTTGTGGGGTTTTTTTACTGTCTTTATTTGATTTTGATATGAAAGTAATACTGCATTAGCCAACAAAGTAATAATGCATAGCATGAATTGGGAAGTTTTGCCTCTTTATTTTCTGGAAGAGATTATACAATTTTTGTTAATTCTTCTTTAAGTGGTAGAATTCTCCAGTGAGACCACCTGGGCCTGGGAGGGCTCTTTTCCAAGAGATTTTTAATTACAGGTTCAGCTTATTTAATGGTTAAAAGAATCATTCAGGTTATCTGTTTCATCTTGGTTGGGTTTGGGGTGGCTGTGGTTTTTAAGAAATTGTTCCATTTCTTCTGAGTTATTGAATTCAAGAGCTTAAAGTTGTTGGCTTTATAGCTTTTTATAAAGTTGGCTATATAACTTTTAAACTCATATCCTCTTAGTGTCTACAGAGTCTGTAGTGATATCCCTGTCTTCATTCCTGGTGTGGGGGATTTGTGTCTGCTCTCTTTTTATTCCTGTCAGTCTTGCTAGAGCTTATCAATTTTATTGATTGTTTTGAAGAAGCAACTTTTTGTTTCATTGATTTTCTTTATGGTGTTCCTGTTTTGAGTTTCATTCACCAGCTCTGGAAGGCATATTTTAATACTTGCAGCTGAGCATGTGTGAGAAATTCTAAGAAGGGTGGATCAGGGAAAGGTAAGGGAGGTTCCTGTGAAGACCTGCCCATTCCAGAAGAGGAAGGTGAGCTGCAGACATCATTTCCTGGTCAGAAAGAGAAAGTGCTGGGAATAAGACACACCTTGTCTTAGTGGCAGACCATGACACACTGTCTTGCCTCTTGCCATCGACTGTGATTTTGTCTGGCCCCACACAGCTGTGTAAGCTTGGCAAAGACAAGGGCTGTCTGGGAGCAAGATGGGCAGCCAGGTATCTGATGGAACAGGGTTTCTGGGTTCTGTTGTATTGTCTCACTGATGCACACTGCATGTGTTTCCTTCCAGTTTGGCTTCAGAATTGGGATGGAGCAGCCTTTGTAGGCTTGGAAATGCCAGATGGACAAGTCTGACTACAGTCTAGTAGGTCAAGATTAGGTCACTAGGGGACAAGATCCTCTTGGCCAGAAATGTGATTTTAAATCAGTATTCTTTTTTAAAAATTTTTTTAAATTAACATATAATGTATTATTAGCCCCAGGGGTATAGGTTTGTGAATCTCCAGGTTTACACTTCACAGCATCCACCATAGCACATACCTTTCCCAATGTCCATAACCCCACCACCCTCTCCCTACCCCCCTACCCCCAGCAACCCTCAGTTTGTTTCCTGAGATTAAGAGTCTCTTATGGTTTGTCTCCCTCCCGATCCCATCTTGTTTTTTTTTATTATTTTTATTTATTATTAATATATAAATATTATATATTTATTCCTTTCCTACCCCCCATACCCCCCACATTGCCTCTCAACTTCC